GTTTGGGCTGCGGCCCAGCTCTGCGCCCTCAGCTAGAGACGGCAGAAGATGGGGTTCCGGGAGGCACAGAGATCGCGGGGGGCCGTGCGAGGCCGCGCAGGCCGCCGACGGTCACCGGGAGTCGCGATCTCCCGTCCCCCTCGGGACACAGCGGCCCCGGCCTGGCCGGTCCCGCCTCGCCTCTCTGGGCCTCGGTTTCCTCGCCTCGGAGCCCTCTCAGTTCCCCCGTTCCCGCCGTTCCCGCGCCAGCAGCCGCCGCGGGCGTCCTGGGGCGAAATGTGAGCCACGGTGAGGGTTTGTGTTAAGCCTGTTTTTAGTTTACGAGTCCCTCCCACGTCAGCACTCTCTCCCGAGGATTGTTTCCTAAACGACACCATCCCAGCCGGGAAGCGGGCTCCGCACCCCCCCGGGGCATCCGGCTGCCAAACCTGCGGCGAACCCCGCTTCACTCGCGGTCCCCTTTAGGACAGGGAGCTGGTGCACGTGGCCGCCCACCTTACAAACCCACCGGCTCCGGAGTTTACTCCCCCGCCCGGGTCAGGGTCACCGGTGACGTTAATCACCCAGGTGGTTAAGAAGCATCATCGGAAGTCCAGGCCCCTCGGGCACTTTGCGGCCTCCTGCTTGCCCCTCGAGGGCAGCAGTAACCTGCCCGGCTCGCCGTCCACCTGGCGACTGCGCTGCCACATTCATTCCCTGTGGACACCCTTCCTCGGCCCCTCCGTCCCGTGGACGCGCCTGCAGCCCCCCTCCATTCCCACCGCGCCCAGCTCAGATGCCACCGGCTCCTCAGACGGTGCGTCCGGCGCCTTGAGCTCAAGGTCGGGAAAGAGCCCGAGCTGTCGGGTAACAGCAGTTGTCGAACAGCCAAGTGGCTCTTAGGGCGACTCTCGGACGCGTGGCTTGTGAGTCCCCGAGTGGAGTGGAGCAGAGTTAACTAACCCATCGCGGCCCAAGGACGCTGAATAAAGAGCGAGGCCTGGGTTGTTTTGATCAATGAGAAGAAGGGCTGGAGGAGCCAGGACTGCCGTCCAGCTTGGGGGGACGAGGCCCCCGGAGGTCAGGGGGATAGGGGACGGCCCCCGGAGGTCAGGGAGCTAGGGGACGGCCCCCGGAGGTCAGGGGGATACGGGACAGCATCCAAAGGTCAGGGGCTAGGGGACGGCCCCCGGAGGTCAGGGGCTAGGGGACGGCCCCCGGAGGTTAGGGGCAAGGGGACGGCCCCTGGAGGTCAGGGGGCTAGGGGACGGCACCCGGAGGTCAGGGGCTAGGGGACAGCACCCAGAGGTCAGGGGCTAGGGGACGGCACCCAGAGGTCAGGGGCTAGGGGACGGCACTTAGTGGGGCAGCCAGTAAGCCCGAGCGCTTGGCCGGGCCTGAATCTCTGCGGCAGCTTGTCGCCTCTTGTGCTGGGGTTTCCAGAGCAAGGGCTGCCCGTATCTAAACGCAGTTAGCGGTTGTGCTTTATCGGTGCTCCTGATCGCCGCCCTCCCTCGGCGGCTTCGTGGTCTTATCTTCACAGCTCACTTCCCACTTTTCGCGTCTTTCGCTTTCCTGAACTTTCTTAACTTCCCACTCTCGTGTTCCCTGTTGTCCCGTCTCCTGCTCACGCTCCTTTCCTGACCCTGGGGAGGCCTCTCCCTTTCTGAGGGGTTCCCCTCCCGCTCCCCAGAGACACGCAAGTGCCCTCGTGGGGCAGGCGGTGGTGCAGACGAGACTCCCCGCAGCTCGGTCCTTCCCCGTGGAGGGGACAGTGTCGCCCGCGTCCACCCCGCGTGTATTCCTGGCCGCATCAGGGGTCGGGCTCGGTCTGCTCCTCGGTGACCAGGTCACCCACAATCACGGGCCGTGCCCCTCAAAGGCGGCCTCGCTCCGGCCCTCGAAGGCCAGGATCTACGGGATGCCAGTGCAGTGCCCTTCAAAACGCAGTGTTAGGAGAGATCCAGGTCTGAGACGTGCGGCACCTGCCCCGGGCAGCAGGGCGGGGTCAGCAGCTTTCAGGTGGCTCAGCAGCGGCCGGGTCAGCAGGGGCAGGGACTCGGAGGCCAGTGATGCACTCAGGACGCACTGGTCTGCACCCCCGCCCCCGCCCTGGGGGGCTAGACAGGGTGACGCCGACTGGAGAGTGCCCTCTGCCGCTTCCTCTCGGCAGGCTTTCCCACACAGCACCCGGGGGTGCAGGCCCTCTGGCGCCCTAGCCCCCCAGAACTTTCTTCCCTGTAAGAGCTGCGGGGCCTGCGCTATGAACCTGGCCCCTGGACGCTGGCTGCAGAGCTGCGGTCAGCACAGAGCAGTGAGTGACCTGGGCCGAGGGGTGGAGCCTGGTTCTGCCCCTCCCTGCGGGGTGACCTTGAGCCAGGGGCCCAGCTTCCACAGCCTGCTCTGGACAGTGGGGGACAGTGGGGGACAGTGGGGGACAGTGGGGGACAGTGGGGGAGGACTGAAGGAGACAATAGGCGTAACGCGCTGAGCCCCGTGCTCATAAATAAACCGTAGCTGCTCTGCGGGGATCCTTAAGTCCATCCTATCAAACCGATCTCCTGGGCGTCTGCTCCCCGAGCTGAACAGACGCAGAACCCAGAGCAGGCGAGGCTGCCGGGGAGCGAGGGGGCCTGAGCCAGGCGCCGGGCCCCAGAGGCGGGGCTG